TTTTTCCTCTCCACTGTCGCTACAAGCATGCTTAGTGTGAGGGATTGCTGAAGAGTCAATGAGTCGATGCAATCAACAAGTGACCTGAGATGACGTGTGTTGTGAATTGGCGCTATAGAAATAAACTGAACTGGATTGAATTGACTATTTTTTTTTGTTATTAAACTGAAACATTTGTTCACTTCATGCTATCTCTTTGTTTGCGTTTATTAAAAACTGGAAGCTTTCTTTCTCCTACAGTTCTAAGTTTTGTTAGAACTTTAGATCACTTCATTTAATTAATATCAGTTGGTGTTCGACCTCACTGAGCTGTTGCTTTACTGGCTCTATTCAGTAGCTGCGTATCGACTCCATCTGGCTTTCGTTCAGGTACACGGTTCTACCAGCAGATGGCGCCAGCGTCTGTTTATTTCTGCTCATCGATCCTGTGCTGTAATTCTATTTATGCTCAAACACGACTTTCTAAACATCTTGCTTCACAGCATTGGATGCAGGTCCAGCAGATTCCATACTGCCATTAGACTGCTGAATGTTTTCTAAAATGGATTATTTTATTGTATTTTATTATATTTATTATATTTTATCATTTTACATAAAAAAACTAAAATATTAGAACTTTAAATTTACAGTCATATGTTTATATAACTGTTTTTATATATTTAGTTCTAAATTCCTTTTTGTTTTACACTTAAAAATAACAAATAAATCTGTCTAGGTCTATCTTCAGGACAGACGGTTGATTCCCAAAGTCGGGGTTCATGACCCCGTTTATGGTCACAGATCAACATTTTAGGGTCTTGAGATCCTTTAGAGGAATTAAACAAATGATAATAGTGAAGATTTTCATGTGTTTAAAGATATTTAAACAGAATTTACAAATAATGTAAACATGTTGATGCTGTTTTTATTAATATTATATCTTCTGTATGGTTAGGAATGTTAGTAGTTTGGGTCATGTGACCATTCTGTGGGTCAGAAACAGTTTGGAAGCTCCTGGTGTATAAAATCTAATTTTATCCGGATGATAAAGCTGTTTGTACAGATTTATAAAAGACTTATAACTGTCAAACTGTCAAAGCAACAAGTCATCCAGTCTTTTAAAACCTATTTTGGTAACTTCTGATCCTCCTTCTGCAGCAGTGAAAAGCCATCAAGGCTCCTGGCTGTCATGTGATCATCAGAACTATAGTCACTGCAGAAAATCATCAGTTCCTCTTGTGTTTGAATCCTTTATTTCTTTATAATCTTTTAAATCCTCTAGGAGCCAGGTGGGACGCAAATAAACCATATTATGAAAACTTTCCAGTTAGAACTATTCTTATATTCCTCTCAATTATACTGAATTTTAATTTAATGCTGGACTTTTTCTCATAGAAATATATGAATGACATATGCACACCACCAGAACTGAACCCAAACCTCTAAATCTAACAGCTTATTAGCGTCCTCACTAAAAACACCAAGTAGAAAATTATTATATAAGTTAAATCCTTGTCTTAATCCGGGTTATTTGCAAAGATGGCACCTTACCAGTCAAAGTAAGGTTTGCTTTAAACTTCCTTACATGAAAAACCAGAATTTATTCCAGGTTGTGATACAGAGACCAGATGAGTGGGAGGCCTCACAGACCTCTGCTGACCCGGCAGAGCAGCCGGTCATCATTCAGCGGCGGCAGAAAGCAGAGCGACTCACGTGACGTCTCCGGCGTAGTGGCGGATGCGGAAGTGCTTCTGGAAGTCCATGGTTTTATCGGTGGGACTGAGCTGGAAGTCGGAGGGGAAATGGTGTGAAAACTTTTTATTTCTATCACATCTATGTGAACATTGCTGCAGTCAGTTTTAAGCAGAGTTGTTATAAAAAATATTTTTGTAGAAGTTAGAGTATCAACTTAAGCTTTTTACTCCAGTTAATGTGTAAAAGTACCATTTTTAAAACTATAAAGTATAAAAATAATGCAGAAAAAATGTTAAGACCAGAAGCTTTACTGCTCTACCCTATTAAAGGAAAATTTTTCTAATATTCTGTATGATAACTTCCTCAGACTTTATTTTCTTAGCTTTATAACTAATGGTAACAGTGTCACATTTAACTTTGCATCATCCTGAAAAAAAACTATTTATTTTGGTATGTGGTGAGCAACAAGTTGGGGCAGCACCAAGTCAAACCACAAAGAAATTAACTGTCTGGATTAAAGTAATTATTCTGATGGATTTTATTCGTTTATTTATTTTTATTACCATCAGGCCATAAAGAAAATTAGCTTAAAATAAACAAACAAAACTAAGAGTTTATTTTTAAAATGTAAGCAGTAGAAGTATAAAGTTAAAAGTAAAGTATAGAAGCCAACATTTCTACTTGAGTATAACTAAGTATTTGTACTTTGTTACTTGGTTTTAAGATGCTTCAGTTTTTCTTCTCATGGTTTCTACAATCCTGAAGAAAAGACCTCATAGAAACGCTCTGCTGCCCTCTACTGGCTAAACCAACAACTGCAGCTCTCTCTGACCCTCCTGTTTACATCTATTCATAAAAAATTACAGAGCAGAAATAAGGCAGGTTTATATTATTAATTTAATTTAGGAAGTCTGGCCCTAAATGGTGACTATTATCTACCACTTATTGAAAGATAAATGTCCTTAATCTATATTTAATCTCTTAAAATGTACATTAATCTGTTCATTATCCCTTAAATAACCACATCTTGTGTTTGTAGATTAATGTGATTTACAGAGCAAGAATAGGATTAAATATTCTAACAAATTAACTTTAACAGTCAGAGGATGTTTCATCATCACTGCTTCTGCTTCTTGAGTCAAACCTACAGCGTCACACATGCAGCGGGAAACTTATTTTACTTTGAAAAGTTAGCTTTTTTTAAACAGATCCAAATCCTTTTTTTATTATCGAATTTTGTTTTTTTATCGTATTAAATATCTTTTTATCTTTGCAATCGGACAGGTGAATTTCCCCTATCAGGGATTAATACAATAAGTAAGTAAGCAAGCAAGTAAGTAACTAAGTAAGTAGGTAAGTAAATGAGTAAGTAAATGAGCAAGTAAATGAGCAAGTAAGTGAGTGAGTAAGTGAGTGAGTAAGTAGGTAAGTAATTAGGTAGGTATCTAAGTAAGTAAGCAAGTAAGTAATTGAATAAGTAAGTAACTAAATGAGCAAGTAAGTAAGTAAGTAGGTAAGTAAATAGCTATGTAAGTTAGTAGGTAAGTACGTAGGTAAGTAAGTAGGTAAGTAAGTAGGTAGGTAACTAGGTAACTAAGTAAGTAGGTAAGTAAGTAAGCAGGTATCTATCTATCTATCTATCTATCTCTCTATCTCTCTATCTATCTATCTATCTATCTATCTATCTATCTATCTATCAAAACAGAGAGAGAAAGGTCAAAGAGGCAGATTTGGAGAGTCTTCTGGTGTTAAAGTGTCTCAGAGGTAAAGAGTCTGACCTTGCGGGACGTGTAGTGAGGATGCTGAGCCAGCTTGGTGTCCATGCTCTCCAGACAGACCGTGTCGGTCACCTTTCCAACAGTGAGACAAGCCTCGTCTAGAATGGAGAGGATCCCTTTGTGCTGCTGCTCCACCAGGTCCACGATGATCTGGTTGTTGAAGTAATCAATCTGCAAAAGAAACCAAAGATCAAAGAAGGGTTTGATTCAGTTGTTTTTACAGCTTTCTGTGCATTTTTTTATGTATGTGTGTTTTTTCAGCAACTTCAACAAGCTTAAAGTTCTTATTTTTGTGAGGAGAAGGAGGTAGAAAAGCGAACCAAAGTGAACCAAAAATCTCTTTCTTAGAGATGAATTCCTCTTTACGTCTAAACAGCTGCCCATGTGGATCAGGATCAAATTATGGAAGAGGATCTTTTATTTGAAACAGCTCAGAAGTGAAGCTTGTTTGATCAAATCTAAGGTTCCAGGATGTAGGAAGACACAGACATATGGGGATGTTTTTCCTCACATGCTGCCAGGTGATTCCCTCTCTCTGGTATTCCTCCTGCTCCTGCTGGAGGATCAGCTCGATGAACAGCTGCTGCAGCTTCTCGTTGCAGTAGTTGATGCAGAACTGTTCAAAACTGTTGTTGTCAAAGATCTCAAAGCCGTAGATGTCCAGCACTCCTATGACCGTGTTCTTCCCATGAAGCACTGGGTTGTAGTCTTTCACCTCGATGATGCCGTTGATGCGGCTGACGATCCAGCCGAAGAGCCTCTCGTAGAGCGCCTGAAGCATCGCAGAGTCCGGGTTGATGTCAGAGAATGATCTCCACCGATAAACAGTGTTTATACCCTGAAGGCCTTACCTTGGCGAAGGCATCCCGACCGAAGCAGGCGTCCTTCTCTGTGTGCCCCTTCTCGATGACATCACCGCCGCCGGTCGCCACGGTCCGGTAAAGCAGGCCCTTGGTGACGGATTCCGGGTCCGTGGCCGTCAGCTCTGAGATGTGGGTCACTGTGTCCTGATCCACAACATGAACGATCTCACCTTCGCTCCCAAACTCCACGTTACCCTGAAAGCATCACAGCGAAGTTCCACCAGTTAGAAACCAGTGGATTCAATTAATAAAACAACTATGATGGGCGTTCAGTGTGTGTAATTATTTATATCTCTATACAGGCTTAGCTGACAGCTTTGGTCCAGGACAGCTTTATAAATAACAAATGTTGACATCAATGGAAGATTTAAATACAAATTTTAAATTCTGATATAAATTTAGATGTAAGATATATAGTCAGATTTAATAAATATATTTAATAGTTAGTATATATATTTAAATTTAACATTTAGATATAAATTCAAGATTTAGGTTAAGCTATTTAAAATTCAAATGTAAAAATAGGACTATGACATAAATTTCCTTCTAAATAAAATATCTAAATGAAATTTTAAAATTTTTATTTTAATTTGAGATTAGGATACTAATGAGAGATTTGAATTTAAATATAAAAAAAAAATATATATATATATATATATATATATATATATATAAGACTTATAGAATAGAAATAAATAGAAATGTTGACA